AGACTCCTTGGAAAAGACCTTGATGTTGGGAAAGTATGATGGCAAGAGAAGGGGACGACAGAGGATGAGATGGCTGGACAGTGTCATCGAAGCAACCAAGATTTGATTTGACACAACTCCGGGAGGCAGTGGAAGATAGGAGGGCCTGGCGTGCTGTGGTCCATGGGGTCACGAAGAGTCGGACACGACTAAACAACTAGACGAAGAAAATGGAGGGAGAAAATGGAGGGAGGGAGGAAATGAAGGGAGGGAGGAAATGAAGGGAGGGAGGAAATGGAGGATGGGTGGATGGATTGGTGTGTGTGTGCGTGTGTGTGTGAGTGAGTGAGGGAGAGTGACTGAGTGAGTGAGTGAGTGTAAAATATGACAGCTTCCATAGAAACACTGAGGTCAGAATTTGTGTACTCACCAGGTCAGAGAAGGCAATCAAAGCTAAATGTTAGGGACTCCTATTTATAATATTTTTTTCTGCAATATTGGTGCGTGGGGTGATGAAGTGGATTTGAATCACAAAAGCTTGCAAGTTAATTGAGGGGTATTTTTTTTTAGTTGTTTAATAAAAGTATACTCTCTGTCCTGCATTTGTATTGTGCAAAGCTAGCAGTTTGCTACTCATTAAGTAGTTTTAAATCACAATTTCTTGATGAGTGCATTTGTACATTAGTTGCATTGACATTTCATATTTTCAGCTGTACAATTCGAATTCAATTTTTTAATGAAAGAGCAGTGTTTTATTTTAGCCTTCATTTGCACGGGATATCTTAATTTCCCCTTTCACCACAAGAGGGTCCCATAGTTCAGAATTTCCTTAATGCTTTCCTTCTTCTGTTTGAAATCAGTACAAGCAACCGTCTTTGATCACTGATTGTGAAAGATGGATAGAGGTGAACCTTGTCCCACAGCTTGGCTCTCAGATTCACCTCCGGAAGGTGCCACTGGAACTGCTGCAGAAAGTGCTGAAATCTCCAAGGTAACATTGATGGGCGTATTTTCTCAAGAAGTCT